TTCGTGGGACGTGAATGGAATATCATGGGAAAAGCATGGCGACACAGTGGGAATATACTGTAGTGGGAATAGAATGGGAATATCATGGGATATACAACCAACCAGAATCACAAGTTCCCAACAGCAGGGCCTGTTGGGTTTCAATCTCTAGGGCTGGGGCTGGCTCGCGGGGACTTGCAGCCTTCAAAATCCGGAATGAACCCTGGAACCCTGGAACCCTGGAACCCTTGGAACCCTGGAACCCTGGAACCCTGAAACCTTGGAACCCCGGAACCCTGGAACCCTGGAACCCTGGAACCCTGAAACCTTGGAACCCCGGAACTGAAACCCTGGAACCTTCAAACCCTGTGACCGTGGAACCCTGAAACCTTGGAACCTTGGCACCCTGGAACCCTCAAGGATTCTGGAACCCTGCAACCTTGGAACCCTGGAACCTTGGAACCCTGCAACCCTGCACACCTGGCACCCTGCTGGGATCCTGGAAAAACCCCTGGGATCCTGGAACCCTGAAACCCTGGAACCATTGGAACCCTTGGAACCCTGGAAACCTTGGAACCCTGAAACCGTGGGACCCTGGTATCCTGGTACCCTGGAACCCTGGAACCCTGAAACCTTGGAACCCCCTGGAACCCTGGAACCCCGGAACCCTGGAACCCTGAAACCCTGGAACCTTGGAACCCTGCGACCGTGGAAGGCACCCAGGAACCCTCAAGGATTCTGGAAACCTCTGGGATCCTGGAACCCTGAAACCCTGGAACCCTTGGAACCCTTGGAACCCTGGAAACCTTGGAACCCTGAAACCGTGGGACCCTGGTGCACTGGAACCTTGGAACCCTTGAAACCCTAAAACTTCCAAACCCTAAACTCTATGCGCGCTGCGCGCGCTGCATGCAATAAAGTAAACCCTAAAACTTCCAAACCCTAAACCCTAATGCGCGGTGCGCGCGCTGTGTCCCAGAGAAGTAAACCCTAAAATTTCCAAACCCTAAACCATCGTGTTATGCAACTTCCAAACCCTAAAGTTTAACCCGCGGTGTGCGCGCTGCATGCAATAAAATAAACCCTAAAACTTCCAAACCCTAAGCCCTAATGCGTGCTGTGCGCGCTGCGTGCCAGAGATAAACCCTAAAACCTTCAAACCCTAAACACTAATGCGCGCTGCGCGCGCTTTGTGCAATAGAGATAAACCCTAAAATCTTCAAACCTGAAACTCTGCAGGTTGGGGGTTCGCCATAACAGTCACGGGTGTGACACCCGGAGGGTGAAAAGATTGAGGCATGGACGGAACAACATTTGGTGCTACTTCATGGGATGATTGACCAACAGAAACCCTGGGGGTAGCCCAAGTAGTTGCCTCTACAACCATTGGATTTGCGACCTCTTGCAGGGGAGCTGAAGTATTTTGTGGGGAACCAAAAGGCCTAGCACGAACATCTGGTGTTTGAGCTGGAGCTGGATTATAACCTTCAAATAGATCGAAGTTATCCATATTTTCCCATTAGGGATTACTCTATGACCCGTGTTTTCTTGGGGAGGATCCGCAAGTAAGTCCATAAGAGCATTACCCGAGACGGGGGAAATCGGAACCGGGGACGCTACAGCCAAGTTGTGTTGGCGCCTGGCTTCTGCCAGCTGTTGCTCAAGGAGAGCAATCCTAGTATCCCTTTCAGTCGTGTCATAGAGGTAAACCCTAAAATTTCCAAACCCTAAACCCTAAACCCTAAGGCGCGCTGCGCGCGCTGTGTGCCATAGAAGTACCCCTTAAAATCTCCAAACCCTAAACCATCGTGTCATGGAGGTTAACCCTAAAACTTCGAAACCCTAAGTTCAACCCACGCTGTGCACGCTGCATGCAATAAAATAAACTATAAAACTTCCAAACCCTAAACCCTAATGCGCGCTGCGCGCACTGCGTGCCACACACATAAACCCAAAAACTTTCAAACTTTAAACCGTAACGCGTACTGCGCGCACAGCCTGCCATAGAGGTAAACGGTTAAACTTTCAAACGCTGTGTGCCATAGAGGCAAAGCCTAAAACTTTCAAACGCTAAACCGTAAAGCAGGCTGCGCGCGCTGCGTGCCGTAGAGTGCTCCTCAAAAGTGATTACATGTCATACTTTAGTGGCATCCTCCAAATTCATTAGTCAGCCTTTGTTAATCCAGGGCCCATTTTACACATGTCATCTTCTTGGTCGTGGCGCCATTTCAGGATCACACTGATGACCTAAGCTTTGGCCTTAACTATTATGCAGGCAAGCGACATCAGCACTCTATGGTATTGGAAGACACAGGGTTTGCCCGTAGACCAACCAAAAAATCGATTTTCCACACTGAACAATTGGATTTAACACATTTAGAATAGGAGCTCCGCCTGATTCAGATTTCATCACTTAAAAGGTACCCATGCCTGACTAGCCTTCATGACTTAAAGCGTAACCACCCCCGACTTAAGGGAACCATGCCTGACTAGCCTTCATAATTAAGAGGTACCCACCCACGCCTGACTTAACAGAACCCATGCCTGACTAGCCTTCATAATTAAAAGGTACCCATGCCGCCCATGCCCCTGAATTCAGGGAACCATGCCTGACTAGCCTTCACAATTAAAAGGTACCCACTGGAACCATGCCTGACTAGCCTTAATGACTTAAAAGGTAACTACCCCTGACTTAATACCTGATTTACTGGTTTTGCCTGATTTTGGAAAAACGCAGGGCCGGAATTTGCAGGGCGCGGGCCGGAATTTGCCGGGCTGGGATTTTGGGGTCGTGCCTAAATAGGATTTTTGCAAAAATCGTGCATGACTGAAGGGAACCATGCCTGACTAAACATCATACCAATCATCCCAAAAGAATCCAATAATTCCAGCAAGTGATGCCTGACCAATCCCTGCGTCATAATAAACCGTCTGCCCCTCCCCACCCAATAATGAACACACGGAATAGTTTTTTGTATTTAGTGGGTATTTAGTATGAGGGTGCGAAACTTCCCCCTTGGTTTAAAAAACTAAATTGGAAAACATTTTTTAATAACATCTAACTAAAATATTGCCAAAATTGGATTCCGAAGCTTCCCCCTGACATTAAATTGAAAACATTCGTTTTAAAAAATGAACTTTATATTTCAAAACCGCTTGAATTCCTATTCAAAATCTAACTCAAATCTTGCCAAATTGGATTTCGAAGCTTCCCCTTATATTAAATTGAAAACCTTACTAATCCCCACCTCCTTTTACTAAAGGTACCCTAAATACTAAAATATTACATTGATTCCTTTTACTAGGGTCCGCGTTAAATTTTGGGAAATTTCAGGCTGGCCAATTTGACTTTTAATTGATACCTTTTCAAAAACAAATTGAACATGAAGGTCCCATTTCAGGATTTCACCACCAAAAAATAAAAACTAGTCAGCCCCGGTGATTTTTTAAACTAGGGTCTTTTAAGGTCGAAAAAATAAGTATTTTATATTACAACGTTTATATAATATTGGGGGAAAACTTCGAAATCCACTTTTTGGCATTTCCTGGCAATATTTTTGCTGGATGTCAAAAGGAAATCTAATCGATTCTTGAAATCGAAAAAACACAGTTTTTTTATTAGTGTTTTTAATTTAATCTTAGGGGAAAACTTCGAAATCCAATTTTTAGCAATATCTTAATTATATGTTAGACAGAAAACTAATCGATTTTGAAACAGTTTTTTTTTTAAATATATTGGGGCTGGTAATTTAATATTAGAGGAAACATTTCGAAATCCGGTTTTTGTTTTTATTTTTGTTACTACAATTTAAAAGGAAATCGAATGGATTTCAAAAAAGAAAAAATAATTTTATATTTGGTTTTTTTAAATGTAATATGAGGGGAAAACTTCAAAATCCAATTTTTGACCATGTTCTAATTAGATTTCAAAAGGAAATCTAATGAATTTTGATATAGAAAAAATAGTCTTTGATATGAGGGTTTAATATGAGGGGAAAGCTTCGAAATCCAATTTCTGGCAATATCTTAATTTGAATTTACAAGGAAATCTAATCGATTCTGAAATAGAACAAATTTAGTTTTTTATATTGGAATTTTTCATGCAAGATTAGGGGA